TACCAATCCGCAGTAACAGTTTTTTGCTCATTAAGAGGAATTGTTGCAATATGACCTGCTTTTGACACAAATGTCGTGACCAGCTTTTTCGAAACACTGCCAGAACGGATGACTTTTGTTGGCGTTTCTTCACCTTGGAACATCCAAACGTTTATTTTCTGGTTCATAACAGTAAATCCACGATCCATCACCACTAACAATGCTGAACACATTTTTTGAGTTTCCGGAATTGAAACGGTCAAGCGTTATTTGACACCAATTAACCCTGGCTGCTTTCTGCTCGTCAGTCAACAGGTGGGGTATCCAACGAGAAACTAATTTTCTTACTCCTAATTCTTCATGTAACATTTTTTGAATTGAGGTCTTTGAGATCTTCAAGGACGCCTCAATCTCGCGAATTGTCGCATTTCTATCTTCAATGATGAGTCAGACATGGGCAATACATAGATAAGCCATATAACACTTAAGAAATAACTAAACTTTGACACAATTTAATTTTGAAGCTTCTATGCAGAATAATCTTGTATCGCCAAATAATATGGCAGAACATTTTGAGGGATTTAGTCTCAAGTTGTGAGAGCTGCAGAACCCATTAACACTATGAAGATCGGCACTTACTATCATCCTGGACATTGTCGACACTTGCGTATCATCAGCAAAAAATTGAGCATGTCCATTCTTGAAGTTATCATGTAAATCTGCAGTGTAAAGTAAAAACATCAATGGTCCCAGTACTGAGCTTTGTGGAACACCTGACTGAATGTATTTTGATGTCTGATATTTACTCCTGCCTCCGTTCCCTTAAATATGACCTAATAAAGTTGCAGGCAACTTCAGCGAAGCCATAGTAGTGGCACTTGACAATAAGCTGTCGATGGTTAAGCGTATCGAAGGCCTTGAAAAAGTCTAACAGTACCAGCACGCTCATGGTTTTACTGTCGATGGAAGATATGATGCTATCAATGAGATAAGACAAGGCTGTAGTTGTACTGTGGCGTTTCTAAAAGCCTGATTGATGGGTGGGGATTATATTAAGTGTATTGAGATGATCTAGAATCTGTGTATAAGGTACTCGTTCTAAAATTTTATACATTAATGGCAATATTCTTCTTGGCTTGAGGTCAGCGATGAATATCTGATTAGACAATTTCGGCAGAGGAGTCACCAGAGCTGTCTTCCTAATGTCAGGAAAGTATCCAGTTTCCAAGCAAACATTAATAACATGTATACTATAACTATCTAAAACTGTAATGACTCATCGATGTTCACGTGAACATCACTTAACTACCAGTAGTCGGCAGTTCATAGGCGGGGTATGAATGTTTAACATGGGTGAACTAGATTTGTCACATGCTTAATAAAGAGTGGTTTGAAACATATTGTAAGTCAAAAATTTGGGAATTGCCTTTATTCATCGTCGCTTCCACTTTCATCTGACAGTAATAAACTGTCGCTATCGCTTTCCTCGTTGAAATTGACTATAACTGGCTCTATGATGGTGTCGATGTGGTGGCCAAGCTGCCACATTTTTGTTTCTTTCTTCACAACATGACGGATAGCATTCTGCCAAGCTTCGGGCGTTACTAGCTGTATGGGAGTCTCAAGTAAAACCTTAACGTCTGGTAATTTGAAGGTTGTGTTATGGCGCGCAATATAACCCTTCACTTGAGCCCAGATGAGCTCTATTGGGTTCAGTTCACAGTGGTAGGGCGGTAACCGCAGCAAAGTGACACCACATTGACGGGCCATCTCATCAGTCACGTAACTAATGTTCGCAGGTTAGTGCTGTTTAATTTTTTCATACAATTCCGCTTTCACACATGAATCGTCAAACGGGATTCCTTTTTCGCGCAACCATTGCTGCATGTCACTTTTTCGAGATCCCATAGTCGGTACACGTTCGGCTCGACGACTATGGTAGGAAGCATTATCCATGACGATCACAGAGTTGGGCTCAACTCGCTGAAGCATCCCTTGAAACCAGCTCTCGAAGCAGCTGGCATTCATTTCGTCATGGTAATCACCTCCTTTCTTAGAGACGAAAATCAAGTCACACTCTTCTAAAAAGCCACTATCGCTACCAATATGAGTTACGATCAATCTTTGACCATTCCCTGACGGTCCACGAAGACCTGTTGACAAACCTTCAATGCTTGCTTGTCGGTTACTCACTACGTTTTTGTCTATCCAGGTTTTTTTAACTGTGTGACCTGCATTTATCCATGTCTCGTCCAAATAATACAAGTAGATTTTTCTGCTTTGTCGCCTACATTCAATCATTTTGCGTAGGTATTTTCAACGCCAGGCGACTATTTCAGGTCTCTCTATCAATACTGACTGCCGATCACGCGTTTCGTAACGAAAATTAATTTCATGCAGGGATTTCCTCATTACCTCGACGCTCATTTGGGGTATAATTCCATTTTCCTTGATCGCTGTATGTACAGCCTTGGGGGTTGGTATCTCATTCCTAAAGAAGAATGAATGTACGGTTCGCCTTAACGCAATTTTGCTATTGTCATCCAATTTAACGGTCTTTCGTCCCTTCAAATTAAACTTTGGATCAGTAGTAGCTCCAGTTTTCTTCTTTTCATGCACCACCCTGCGAGTGGTCCACTCTGGAACGCCTGTCATACTTTCACAACGCGCGAGTGCATCTCCCTGCGACATAGTTCTGTTCAGATAATTGAACACGTTGAGCATGATTTCTTTCGCGTCCCTCGTCAGTGCTTTACAAAGCAGTCTACTTGTTCCCTGGCTTTCAGTAGTTCCACTCATGCCATTTGTACTCTCCATGGTTAAGTATAACCAAAACAGTAACCACAGAAACCACAACAATAACAATCACACAACAATTCTTATAAAAACACACAATATGCGATCGCTCAACGAAACACGTTCCAATGCGTTGCCGACGCCTATGAGTCTGCCGGTCGAGTGGCGTCTTTGATTTCATTGGTTCTACCGGCGGAGAACAATCAGCCATTATTTCCATCTCTGTCTGTGCTGTTGACCACCGCAAAGCCACAGAAACGACATATGTCGTACGCTATACGGCTGTACTGGAAGGAAGCCGGGATCGAGCTCTGATCACGTGTTGATCACGCGTATGAGTCATTACAGTTTTAAATAGTTGTAGTATAGCAGATACATGCCAATTACTTTAACATTTGTAACGCTCCAGAAGCATTGGATTTTATACCGCAGATAACAGTTTTAATCACAGCTAAATTAACTAGCTCAAAAGAAAATGAATTTCTTTGCAAAAAGTTATTTGTTCTGTAGTAAAGTATTTTTTCGAAGCACGCTTCATCACTGTTTTGAAAAACTGAGGTAAAGTCTTCATTGGCTTTGTATGGGTTTGTGGGTGTTGATTCAATTGCTTGAGCGCGCATATTTTTTAATGATTTGTATAATAAAGGTGAATTTCTCTGATTTTGTAAATGCTCCAAAAAGGCAGACTAACGACTGTAATGCATAATTTATCAAACATTTGTAATTACTCCAATTTTGAACAGACGGATTGGGTTTAAATTTAGACAGCGCTCTATCTCTTTTCTTGAAAATAACCTTCAAACTGGCTGTCAACCATGGTGCTTTCGGTCTGGTGACACGCACTGTCCGAATTGGGCAATGTGAATCAAAGATGGCATTGATGTTGTCAATCAAAAATTTCAATTTTGTTTGAACGTCACTAAAGTATAAGACCTGCTCCCAGTTCATTCGATGTAAGTCTCGGTTGAAGTTATCTATGCCTATGGACTAATTGTACGGGCCCGTATGACTGACTTGATCCATTCGATTTCTCTGTTATGCATGCTAACTTTCACTTAGAGCCTGTAACTTGTACTGAACATAATCCTTTATGACGGTGTTGCGTGGGAATTGTGGAGTCAAGCTACTTGACGCCATTTATTATGAAAACATCCGGCAAGAGGATAAAGAAGATATTATGAGTGTTACATCCAGAAAAAATAGTTTGTTTAACTTGATTTTTTGGCAATGAGCTAGTCTTACATCAAGAATGAGACAATAGCATTCTCACGAAATATCATTGACGAGTTATAAGAAAAAAAAATAATAATTTGTCCAAGTAACTCGAGCTTCCTGGATTAGCTGTATCAGAGTAGTAGGGTTAGTAGTAGTCTGAATCGCCTATCTTGATGCTCTGTGGTGCGCCAGAGATTTTATACCTTCTTCTATCAGCACACGACACACGCGCATTACCGTCAATTGTTCTTCGGAAGATGTGTACCCACGCCCCTGCCTAGCGAATCCCTCAAGGAATCCATTCAGTATCAAGATCAGCCGCGATAGCTGGCGCGTTCGATGAAATTGTATTTGTTTAATCTGAAATTCAGATATGATCCCACGAAGCACGACTGAATATTTCAGTAACTCTTCACGTAAAGGTTTCCTTTTCATTTTAAATTTCCCGATCGTTTTTAGCATACCACCGTCGCACGGAGGCGCAGTCAGGCTCCCGTATATTTGCCTTCCTCCGATTATTTCCATTCCTGCGAGAAGACTCGTATAAAAAAGACCAGTTAGGCTTTAAGTATAATAAATTTGAAGGAAATTATTGCGTATCTTGGGCTTGTCCCAAACATGAGCGGAGAACACCTCAAGGTTTGAACTGGTAAAAGGGACATTGTATCAAAACAAATTTCACAGGTCTAGCTTTACAATAATGACGAATTTTTTAATGAAACTTTTTTCCACGACACCAACTGTCTTCATTAAAAAAAAACTTAAAGAAAAATAACGGGCGCCGGCGGGATTCGAACCCGCCTCTCCATTCCTTGGAGCCGACCTAACCAATTAGTCTACAGCACCATCTGTCAACCAACTTCCGGGATCGACTGTTAGAGACAAATCCAATCCTGCCACGTCACTATTTCTTTGTTTCAAGCTGCTTGACGCCCCATCTGGCGGTGTTCAAGTGAAATAAGTCGAACTCGCGAGGGATCTACAAACGCCTTCTAGTTGCACCACGCAGCCTAGTGGACACTTACCACGGTACCAAAGTGAGAGGACAGTATGTATGTCTGATGAATTTGGTTGATTACCTACAAAATACCTCTCAAATTATAAGATTCGTGAAGAAGCATACGTTATATGGATACCTTTATTATATATATATATATATGTATATATGCAATTCTTTGGGGCATAGTGTTAAACAAGTTTTGGCAAAAAATTGGTATAAAACAATCCCATATTTCTTGAAGCTTTTGTCTCAGTTCGGTGATTGTACGAGCAGGATGTGGTCGTAGAACCTTTTTCATCTCGTGCCACAAAGTTTCAATAGGTGATAGATCTGGACTGCTAGAAACCCATTTCAAAAGTGGTACATTATTTTCTTCCATCCATGTTATAGCCTTTTTTGAGGTATGGCACGCTGCACCATCTTGCTGAAACACAAAATCTTGGCCGGCCATACAAGCTAAATATGAACATCTATGAAACATTGAATAAAATGCTCAATTATTCATATTTGTCTAACAAGATATAAGTGAGATGCATTAGTTAATGCTCCAATGGTAATTCATTAGGAAAAAGGAATCAATCTATGGCAGTCTTGCAAAGAACAGAAAACAGAAACACAGTCCAATCGTTTATGGGGTGTATGGCAAAAAGATCTTTGTCGATTTGAAACCTAACCTGAAAATATTTTTTTACTATTATTTTCACCAAAGTTGTTGCATGGCCATCTAATGGGTCGTCCTCAAAAAGATGCAAATACCTTGGAGGGTATAACTCTATATGTTCCTTAACTAAAACTGTTATTGGATTTCTTGTTTTATTATGTATGCCTGTCGTTTTGTCAAAAAATCTAAAGTATTTTTTACATTCTTTGCACATGTAAAAGAACTATAAAATACGGAGTGGATCGGGAAAATGACGCACGCAACGCCAATGAGTAGAATCGTAAACATAACCTTACCTGTGAAAAGATATCCCTTCACTTCCTGCGTTGACAGCCTCAACCTTACACAAAAAACACTTTTATCTCACCATAATTTAATAAAAGTCTAAAGAACACTTAAAAATACAAGCAAATCACACGAATAAAAGCTAAATTCAAACAATAATGACAGGCGATGACACACTCTACAACCAAGTGCAGCGTTGCCGTATATAAACGTTAATCACAAATATGCAGAAAATACTCTGGTTTGTATTATACCCCGATTTGTATTAACATTCGCGTATTCTTCACTTGTTCTATAAATTATTATAGGTACAAAAGAATATACATAAATTTCTTCTAGAAGAACCTTTCTGCAACAGAATATTTCATTTGGCGAGTTGTGGATACCATGGGGCCAATGTCGAATCGACTTATTTGGCAACATCGCAAAAAAGAGTTATTGTTGTGTGGGAAGAACTTTTGTAAACATTCCAGATCTATTTGGGTAAGACGTCATTGGTTGTGACACTATTATTTTCAGTAAAATACTCAGTAATTGCTACCATATTAGTCTTGATCTTGTATCACATTTTGTAGCAATGCTTTGTGTATGGCTGAAATCCTTCATTTTGAAATGAAAAAATTAGTTTTGTAGCTGAAAGTTTTGTTAGTTTCGCATGTGACCGCTAGAGGGCTTTTCTCGATATTCCGATTTAAATGGTTATTTAAAAAAATGCATTGCTATGGTTTTTTTACAAAAAAGTAGGTAAATGATGTCTAAACAAGCTCAATTATCAATATCTTAAAAATAGTTGGAAACCATTATCTACTGAAAGATACTGCAAGGTCACCCGTTATTTCACTCCTCCGCTATCTGAGTGCTCGCCAACGTGGAGGGCTGAACAATAGTCGTCGATGATTTACGATGGTGTACCTGTTACTATCTACGGCTAATCGCCATTTTTGAGAGCACCAGGGGATTTCCCGGCTTGGGAGTAAGGCTATTATGGTAATAAAGGTGGATGGACCGCACCGATAAAATTGACAGCGCTCTAGCGGCGCGAGTGCGAACTTAATCCCCTTGGAAGTGATATAAGGTCGTCGACGTCGGATGCACTGGCTGCCAGCCAGCGCTGATTGGCTCGTGTATTCCACATTGCAGGTCCAGGGCTGGAAGGATGACATCGTACTGACGGAAGAGGGATGGTTGTATAAAGATAATATTGCTCAACAAGACAATTTTTTTAAAATCAATGGGCTCGTGACATTAACGTACTCTTATGTAATGTAGACACGGAATTTGATCTTCGTCGCGTTGATATTTTTCAAGAAAGTATGGAAATAAGAATAAAAAGATTGGACCAAAAAAATTTGTAAATTTCTGTACAAAACCTAATAGTACCGTTACTAAGCATGTACCACCACAGACGATCACAAAAATCCAATCAGCGGTCACAAGAAAGCAGCATAAAAAAGCGTGACCAACCTCCCTAAGGAGATTGGTCTTATGTGCTGAAATCAGAAAGAACTAAGCAAGGCATCCGCCCTCGATCAGGCACACTATAAATATCTTCTGATATAGACAGGAGCGCAGTGGTGGTGCTATGTAATGCTCTGGAGACAGATTGGGCGGTGGTCGGTAGATTATTTTCACAAATAAAGGATGCTCATGCAGGGCCAAATGCTTAGAGAGACTTGCTAATAGGGCGACGATCAGAAGAACGTAAAGGGTTATCAGATTTGGGTAGAGGGAGAACGTATTATTGATTTTTTTGGTTTTCCATTTCTTATTAAGGCATTTCAAATTTAAGTTGTCGCTCACGTAGTAGCTACGAGATTTACACGTTTTCCAACAATCTCAAATAATGTGGGATAGACCTTTGTTATAATAATATATATAATATATACTAACTGACATATAAATCCGAACACCCAGTTAAAATGGTTTTATTTTAATAAAATTTTGTATAAGTACTTAATGAAGCATAATAAGTAAATGATAAAAATTTCAAAATGATTGCACTGCTTTAAAGCCCTTTGACCTTTAATAATGTGTGGATGCACCCTGATGTGCTACGCATTCTCCAACGCGCCTAGGCATGCTTCTGATCAGGTGGTCAATGTCCTCCTGTGGTATCTCATTCCAGGCAACCACCAACTCCTCTCGAAGTGCTTCTAGAGTCTGAGGAGGACGTTGCAAATTGAGCAATCTCCTACCCATCACATCCCACACGTGCTCAATTGGGGATAAGACGGGAGATCTTGGTGGCCATGGTAACAATGTGACATCATTATGTTGAAAGAAGTCTATTGTGACTCTTGCAACATGTGGTCGGGCATTATCTTGTTGGAAAGTTGGATCTGCCAGGGTGTCAAGATAGGGTAAAAGATGGGGTTCTAGAACTTCGTGGATATAACGCTGCGCGTTCATGTTACCTCTGATGATAATTAAAGGTGACCTGGAACCATAAGCTATAGCACCCCAAACCATAACTCTAACAGTGTGATGAACATGTCTTTCAACAAAAAACTGTAGATTCCTCCTTTCACCACGTCGCCTTCTAACCCTGGCACGACCATCGTGCATGCCTAAACAAAATCGAGACTCGTCACTAAAGACAATACTGTACCATTCCTGATCCCAGAGTTACCGTTGTCTGCACCACTCAAGGCGATTACGTCGGTGTTCTCGGGGAGGACCCAGTGTGGCCGGTATGAAAACAAGCCAAAACTTCTCATTCGTCGGTAAACACTTCGCATGCAAATAGGTCTTCCGTGTTCTGCAAACCATTCATTTGCAATGGATCTGGTAGTGGAGAAACGGTCCCTTAAGGCCAATAATCTTAGGCGGCGATCTTCACGGTCTGTTGTTCTACGGCGGCGTCCAGTACCCCTTGCTCTTTGCGTACGGCCTTCTCGAAGCCATGCCTGACAACACCTAACCACAGTGTCTACACTTCTTTGCACTCTAACTGCAATTGCCCGGAAAGAAAGTCCAGCTTCCCGAAGTCCCACTATACGGCCCCTATCAATCCGCCAACGTTGATTCTTTACTGCGGCTGAAATATTGATTTTTAGAGCGTTAGTGAATTAAAAAAAAGCAGTATAAAAACCGGAATGTCCAACTGATAAGGCTGAAAGTTTTTTCACTTGTTATTTACAGTAAGATAAATACATTCACCAACTTTTATTAAAATAAAACCATTTAAACTGGGTGTTCGGATTTATATGTCACTTAGTATAATAATACATATCTCTGATCAGGGTTGCCAAATGTTCTTTCGCGAGAATGATCCTCTTTTTTAGCGCCAAGTTCTGCTTTCTCCATTTTTCCAAAATGTTTTTAAATGAAAATTTGTGGTGTATCTACATTTTCATTTTAGTATTGTTTTAATTCCTTCATGAACCGCAATGGGTAATCTTTTTTTTTGTAAAAGTTCGTTAGTTTTTTATCTTCCAGCCTTTATAACTAACATCTTTACTTCGATTGTATCATCGGGATCATGTAACATTCGTTCATACTGAACAAGTGAACGGGTTTTTCAAGAAAGATGAAACATTTCACTCAGTTGAATCATAAGAAACATTCGATGGAAGCTTATTATGTGCTTGGCACTTTAGGTCCTAATAATTAGGCTGCAATCCAAAAAGAACTTTGATTGAGGAATACAAGGCTGCATATTTGTAAGTTACTAAACATTCCACTAGAATTGCTGACAAACCTGTATGAAAAATTCAACTGATTAATTTTGCAGTTGCTATATAGTGACAGGAAGAATTAGCTGTTTTCTTTGAGTCTGATAAAAATTATTAATAATAATCATATCTATTTTACCTGGCGGCTATCATCATCTATGAAGTTGCTCTCGCAGCAACCAGCTTGCTAACTGTAAGACAGGCATTAGGACCGCTCTTTCAAGAGCATGTGACATGCTTAGCAAGAAAGAATTTCACCGCAGCATTTTAAAACTGAATTGGATTAAATATTCTTTGCTCGTGATACTAAGAGCTATAATATTACAGATTGCTGAAGCTGTCTATGCATTTAAAATTTTTCTGAGAAAGATTTTGTTAGTAGTGCATTGCAGCGAATAGTTGCTTGTAAGGAGTGAACGCAAATACGGTTTGGGCAGCATAGTCCAAGAAATGCAATTA